GCTGAGTGATATGGGTACCTAAGCTCTGTTGGCTAGCAAAACACCCTGAATGCTAGCATGGAAGATAAGACCAAGAGAAGGAACCACAGAGACCAGAAGAAACAACGTTGCTGTTGCGTTTTTTGTAAGAAAGGGGCGGGGAAAAACAGCCATAGATGGTGCCTCTTGAGGCAGGAAGAACAGTGTGGTCCTGAGGGAGAATGCCTTGAGGGTGATAGCAGTAAACAAGCAGGTGAGAGGGCTATAGACAGAAAGAGCTCAGGGGCTGCATGTGGCCCATGGGCCACAGGTTGAGGAGCCCTGGTGTGGGCTTTTTTACCTTGTGACTGTGAATCCAGTTTCTTCATAGGAAAAAACGTTGTGCCTTCAGATTGTTCCTGGTTCCATGTGCATCAGTCTTTGCTTCTGTGGCTTACAGAAAAAGAACAAGATGCCCAGAAGTAGCGCTACATAGAATGTAGATACAAAACAAGATGGGAGTGTTTCCTGTCTTCTTGTGGCCCTAGCCAGCTACCAGGGTTGGGACAAACAGGCTTAAGGTGTGTGATTTGTGTAAATCGTAGTTTAACACTGAGTTAAAATTAGTCCTTGCTTTGTGACTGAATTGGGGCTATAGGGCTTCTGTTTCCTTCCTGCATTCTTCAGAAACAGAAAATAGATATACTCCACTTCAGGACAGAATTTCAGGATACACATAAGTCCGTTAGGCAAACTATCCTGTGTTGTTTTTAACGGTTGTAGAAAGGCTATGATGAAATTGGGTATGTTTATGTCAATCAAGGTCTGAAAACACATTCCAATACCATACAACTAAGTCTTTCACACAGTGCAAATGGATGTCAAAAGCTTAAAAAGTGTAAAAGCTTTCTTTTTAGAAAAGAGAAACCCTTAGCTAGCAGTACTGCTGTGTTGGAAGCCATTCCCCCCCTCCCCCTTTATGGCTGTGCTTTGCATTCACTGAAAACTGCGTGCACATGCAGTTCCTCAAGACAAGGAGGGAATAATTGCAATGGAATTAACCTCTGACATTTTTTTCTAAGAATAGCTCTGAAAAATCCACTCATCAGCAGGTTGCCTGCTTACCTTAAATAAATTTTTATTCAGTTTATTTAACATATAGCATTTGGAAGTTAACCATTTTTGGCCCAAATGATTGGTTTAGCAAATATATTTCTATATGTCCCATTATGTTTTGCAATAAAATAATTAAATGTTGCTAATTGCATTGAGCAATAATATACAGATTTGGGTTATGATAAACACAGGGCACTCTGTTTCCCCGAAAATGACCTAACCTGATTTTTCAGGATGCTAGTAATATAAGCCCTACCCCCAAAATTAGCCCCAGTTAAGTGAAACCCCACCCTCCACCATTGTGCTGCAACCAGAAGAAGATGACATGACTGTATTTGAATAAATGTAGATCATTGTACCTTAAAAAAAACATAAAACATCCCTTGAAAATAAGCCCTAATGTGTTTTTTGGAGAGAAAAAAAAGACCCTGTCTTATTTTCAGGGAAACATGGTAGTAGTCTTGGGGGTTTTACTTGTTGAAATGCCTTATATGGGTTGCAAGAAAACAAAAAAAGTGTTTGAAATGTGGGGGATTTGGACAGCAACTTTAAGCCCAAGGGAGCAAAAGCCACTGGACTCAATAGATTTTACAATCTGAGTTCAACATGGCTAGGTTTGTGGATCTATTCTGTATTTCAGTGGTTTGCTGGAAAGTTGTTATTGGCTTTATGGCACAAACCAGAAAAGTGGCAATTCATTTTGATTTGTGATCTGTCAAGGTCAACAAATCACAAATTATGAATTTATTAATTTTTTCCTGACAAATCGATGAATCAATTTGGTTGTTGTAGGCTTTTTTGGCTGTTTGGCTGTGTTCTGGAGGTTTTTCTTCCTAACGTTTCACCAGTCTCTTTGGTCGGCATCTTCAGAGGACAGGAGTCAGAACTCTGTTTGTGCTCTGGTGCAGTTTGTGGGATAGTTGAGTATTTGTAGCTGTGGGCTCAGCTTTTTCTCCTTTTCAGGAGATTGGGTGAATATGGTGATCAGCGTGTTTTTTGTTGTGGGAGTATTGTTGTGAAAAGGGTTAGAGATGATCTGTCAATGTAATTGATGGGTGTCGTTAGCTGGTCTTTTGTATGTAGTGATCACCAGTTCTTGTGGCTGGGTGGAGTTCGTGGACCTTTTCAGGCTGTATTTTTCAATTTGTTGATTCATTTTTTACTTTAAAACCCTATATAATGCCCCCCAAGCACCTAAAGACACCAAATTTGCAGGGAAGCTTACTCTGACTCTCCTCTACAAGCCCTGCAAGTTTGATGAAGTTTAAGTTTTTGATGTCCAGGTTATACACCCACTAAAGCACACACACCCCGAGGAAAATTCTCTTGACTCTCTTCTACAGTCCCTCCAAGTTTGGTGAAGATTGGGTTTCAGACATTTGAGTTATGCACCCGTAAAGTAGTCCACCCACCCAGGAAAGTGCCCTTAAGCATCTGGCTTGCGGAAACCCAATCTTCATCAAACTTGAAAGGCTTGTAGAGGAGAATTGTGGGAGGCGTCTCTAGGATTTTGGTGTCTCTGGGTGCCTGGGGGGGGGAATTTCCTGGGATGGGCCTTTTGTGGGTGTATAACCAAGACATCCGAAATCCAATCTTCACCATACATGGAGGAATTGTAGAGTCAGGTGAAGCTTTTCTGCCAGCATCTGGCTTGCGGAAACCCAATCTTCATTAAACTTGAAAGTCTTGTAGAGGAGAACTGTGGGAGGCATCTCTATGATTTTGGTGTTTCTCGGTGCCTGGGAGGAATTTCCTGGGGTGGGCTTTTTGTGGGTGTATAACAAAGACATCCGAAACCCAATCTTCACCATACGTGGAGGAATTGTAGAGTCAAATGAAGCTTTTCTGCCGTTTTGGTGTCTCTAGATGTCCGGTGGGGGCAGTTACAGCCCAACAAGTAGACAACTGAAAAATAGTTGAAATTCATTGATACATGGTTGTCAGGGTATTGATTCGCACAAATACGAATTGAAGAATTAGCAATTTTTGAACAAATTTGGTGATTAATTTTTTACTTCATACCGACAGCCGTGACTATTGTGGAGGTAGGAATCACTAGTCTTGTGATACTTGCACACTTTTGAACAAATTTGGTGAATCATTTTTAACTTCGTGCTGACAGCCGTGACTATTGTGGGGGTAGGAATCACTAGTTTTGTGATACTTGCACATTTCCTTTCCCGTGCTGGGCTCCCATAGCAACACAATTCGTTATTTCACCTTTTCCTTACCTCTTCAAATGCTTCTCTTCCCATCACCAATGTGTTCTCAGTTTTGAACCCTTTCTGGAGGCAACTGTGGTCCTCCAGATTATTTCAAATTGTTCCTCCTAGTATACCTCATGTTTGGTTATACAGTACTGGCTAGGGCTGATATAGGTCAACAACACTTAAAGGGCCACATTCCCCTAACTACCTCCCTTTTATCAACATCCTTTCTAGAATGAGGTTGAGGACACAGTAGTAAGAGTGGTAGAGGGGAGAAAGAACATGAAGTCCACCATTAGCACTTTCTTTCTTTGAAGCAAGTGCTAAGAAGGCCAAAAATTATGGGAGAGAGAGGCATGCTAATACGGACAAGTCTGTCTTGCCTGTCGCTGAAGCTCTAAATGAGAGGGACTAGTCAAAAGCATAGCCTCCCATCTTGCTTACTGCTTCTAAAGTCTGAATAAGAGCAGATTAGTTGGTGGTGGAGACATCAGATCTTTATAGCCAATTGCATTTGAGCCTTGTGGCACTGCAGCCAAAACTCTGCACATGACTGTGCTCAATCCTAGGTAGCTAGTTTGAGGTTCACTGAGCCTTCCATCCTTCTGAGGTTGGTAAACTGAGCATATAATTAAACTGTAAACCACCGAAAGAGTGCTTTAAACACTACGGGGCAGTAAATAAAAGCAAAGCAAAGCAGCACATCTTGCTTTTGCTTTTCATTAGTGTAAGAATTTGCCAGTTTTACTCAATTATTATGAAGACAATACACTTTTCCCCTAGAAAATACTTCTGTTGCAGAAGGATTGCATTCTGATATGTGACTTCTCAATCTGCATGTCAGTGGAGGCTGGTAACTGTGGTTGTGCAAATGGCAGGTACCATGTTGAACAGTGCCTCTGAGACTTTTTTGATCTTTTCCATACTGTACCTGCTTTGTCAAGATTTAAAACATATTGAATTCTGTCTCTGGGATTGCAGTGGGGAAAAATTCCTTAACTCTCATGCTAATTTTACTATTTTGTTTTGTTTTGCTTTGCTTCGTTTTGCAATAGCTTCATCCCCACCCCATAAATGCCTTAATACAAGCAAGCAAGCTAAGCAAAAAAAGAAAAAAGTATTTAAAATGTACAAAGGTTTTCCTTTGCTTTCTGCAATGCCCTGCATTTTGGCTGTCCTTTCCCTCTTTTTAAAGCTACACACAATTCATTTCTAGCAAATAGAATATGTACCTCACTTGATTGATCTACTTGAAGAGAACAGATTGTCCACTTGTGGAGAAGTGATTGCTCCTGTCTTGCATCAGAGTTACTCTTCTCTTGGCTCTTGTGAGGAGAGTCTACTGCTCCTCAGGCTATCAGTAGTGGTGTGCTGTTTGTAGAGCTGTGTACTTCTTCCTCCGTCCTCGAGCCTCCCTCAGTCAGTATTAACACTCCAGATGTTTATGCTGGTGACAAAAGAGGGATCATGTCCAACTACTGAAATTGCTTATATGGAATTTTAAATCTTGACACTTATTTCATAATGATGCTGGTATATTCCTGTAATGATATTCAAGTACAATAGAGAATCTAAGTGCTCTATAGAAATTCTGTTGGGGGTGGGGGCAAAGCTCTGAGAGTAGTTGTTTCTGCAACCGTATAGGCAATGAGGCCTTTAGATGTTTGGGCATAGCCGGGCTGCAGTTAACTTAAATTGCCTTTGTCTTTTCCTTTTCAGCTGACATTATCTCTACAGTAGAATTCAACCACACAGGAGAATTACTAGCGACAGGGGACAAGGGGGGCCGCGTTGTAATATTTCAGCGTGAGCAGGAGGTAAGTGCTGGTGAATGCAAAAATGCCCATTTTTATCCTGTTAAAAGAAGCTTCCTGCTGCTTCCTAATCTTTGTGTGTCACTCTTCACCCTGCTTCTCTCCTAGCACACTAAAAATTGCATAAAAGGCCATTAACATCAATAGGACGGTTTCTGACTACAAAAAAGCACCCCACAAATGTCATTTTTTTCCCTGCATCCTTTTGCTTGCTTTAACCGTGATTGCAGGCAGAGAATCAAATATAAACTGAATGCTGCTGAGCGATGTAAAATCAGATACCCAACTGCCTTATTTGTGTAGCTGAATAATGCTTTTAAAGCCTGGTTTGCTTATTCATTAGCAGGACCCTCCCACCTCAGACTGGCTTTACTTTGCAAAAGTATTTGTAGATTCATTATGTAAATACTGATACAGAGTTCCAAGCACTAGGGGTGATGCTCATGATTTATCCCAGTATGTAAAACAGAAAAGCTTGAAAAGAAGGAGGAGGAGGTACATGTCACCAAATGCCCTAGTGGGTGCATAGGGCCAATGACATTGTATCTGAGGAAGCAAAAAAAAAGTCATACTTCCCCCGTAGCACTTAGGATTCTATTAGGATTGCCCCTGTCTCAGCACCTTTATACAAATTGGGGGTGTAGATGTGCAGGCCTCTTGCAAACAAGGCACAAATAGACTCCAGGGGCATAAATAAGCAGCATGGTCATCTCCATGCAGAGCCCCTGATCCTTATTTAATATTCTGTGTGCATGAGCCCCAATGTACAGTTGATATACACGTGAGCCCCAATGTACAGTTGACATGCTTGTGTGTGAAGTGACTGAATAATGCTTGTAGGAATATTCACTGGTCATAACAGATGTAGCTTTTGTGGTTATGGAACAAGTGTCCATTGATCACATCAATCACTGCCTGGCCTAACAGTTGGTAGCCGACTGTTCCTGCAGAGAATACAGAAAGGATGGTCTTCTCACAACTTCCCTAAGTTTTGTGACATATACTATGTGTGACACGTGGGCGACCTTTGAAAAGTTTTTGCTCTGATATCCTTGGGGTCTCTGATAAACCAAATAAAAATGAGGTTTTACTTATTGCCTGCATTAATGTAACATGTAAAATACATCATAAATGGATACACTTATAAGATCAGAGGTCTATAATGCTGTGTTTACTGATCCCCAGCTCTTACGTCTCCAGAATCTATCCCTATTATACATCCAAAGACGGTAACAGTATGGGCATTTCCCACACTGTAGGAGAAAGGATTTAAGCTATCTAAATACTTCCTGTTGAAATCAGCATGACCATAAAGTGTTAACTTGGTTAGATTGTGCCCTTGTGTAGCTTACTAAGTGTTCGGGGTTGCAAATGAAACAGAGTTTTTTTTTGTTTTGTTTTGTTTTTACAGAACAGCAGTTAGGATAATAAATGGTGGCACTTAATTAAGATTTAAAAATGCTGATGCTATTGTACTGGTGTGTATATGATCTCCCAGATTATTGAACTTTCTAAAATAATATTTATCCAAATTAATATATATTAATATATATATATTGCCAAGAGTTTATCTTGCCAAAAGCCAAAGACTAACGTTTTGTATTAAAGTATCTTTCTTTTATACAAACTTCACACGTAACTGTGTCTGACCCTACGTAAGGAGTAAGAGGATCTTTAGTCATCACAGCTCAGCTGCTACAGCACAGCTGTGCGGCACATGAATACATAAGTCCTTGATTCCAAGTCATCTCAGCCACGGGCTTAAAAATGATCTTAGGTGAAGTGGCTCTTTTCAAGACCACCCTCTCCCCCCATTCCGATATACTATACTGTGAACAGAACAATGTTGATCTACCGCATAACATTCTTGTGCAAGGTTCTGTTAACTTTTTTTCCCAGAGATCAGAGTTACCAAAAGCCATTGTGTGTCTAATACAATTGCCATGATAATGTTATGTACAGTACTTTGAACATTTTTCAGTATGGTTTAACTACTTAGTTCTAGAATTATTGAAAATCTATTTAAGGAACTTAACTCCTTATTTCTCCATCCGATTCCTCTGGTGTCCAAGAAGGGTGAAACAAATAAATTTGCTTCGTGTGCCCCCTGCAACTGTGACCAGGTTCAGTACTCACTGACCACATTTGGTGTTTGCAACCACTGGATAAAGTCTGGCTGTGACTGTAGAAAAGGATGCTGGCCACATATAAAAGCAGTTTGGCCCGAGGAGTGTCTGTCAAATTCTGCAGCTGGCAGAATAAGCAGCTAACTCAGATGTGTGAACTGACCCCCCCTCCCAAGTGGGGTACGCTGCCTATTACCATTTGAACAGGTTTCACAATAGTTTTGAGCAGTTTTTCAGGACAGTAGCAGTTCAGAACCATTTTGTATACTTTCCGTTCAATCACCGTCCTCATCCTCGTCATGACTGTCATTTCTGATAAATTCTTGTTTTGTAGGCAAATCTGTCCACCCTTTACTGGTCCGTGTTGAGCTGATCTATATGCCTGCGTCAAGCAGGATGTGTCCCTCCATTTGAGCCACTATTGTGTTCTGCCAATTTGTCTTAGAGATAAAGGGGAGGGTGGCTTTCATTTATCCGTGAAACAAAACAAGACAAAGGTGCTGCTTCTGCTTCCTATCACCCGCTTGGGGAGAAACTGACACAAGGAGGAAAATGCATTGTGTGGGAAAGATCTCTTGGTGTCTGCTTTGATATCTAAACTGTAATGTGTCACCATAATCAGACATTTCCCTGTCTTTTAACAATCCTCAGAGAACAAAAGAATCAATTGAAAATTTGCTAGCTCTGGCTCTTTTAAGAATCCCTTTATTGTTTCTTTCCCACTCCTGCAGAGCAAAAATCAGCCCCATCGCAGGGGAGAATATAATGTTTACAGCACATTCCAGAGCCATGAACCTGAGTTCGATTACCTGAAGAGCTTAGAGATAGAGGAGAAGATCAATAAAATACGATGGCTCCCCCAGCAAAATGCAGCCTACTTCCTTCTCTCCACCAATGGTATGTTGTGATAACGACAGGTAATTCTTTGGTTGCTAGACAAATATCGTGCAAGGCTTTGGTGGTTTGAAATAATTCACATTGTAATCCCTCTATGGTATGAGTAAATATTGATCTGTCTCTTGCGCAAGTAGAATAACTGAAGTTTATAGCCTCTTAGCATGAAACAGCAGTGGCCAGAATATATGTATATATATATTTTATATATTTTAATTGTATTTTAATTGTATTTTAATCATTTTATTGTAGTGAATTTTTAAGTATTGTAAGCCGCCCAGAGACCTCTGGGTAGAGTGGGCGGCATATAAAATAAATAAATAAATAAATAAATAAATATCATGTGTGTACGTTTGTGATAGAAGTCAACAGTGCATTAATGTCAGATCTTAAGTGGGAACTACTGAGTGCAGTAGCGTCTTTCCATAGAGTTATTCCAAAGCACAGATGTCTGCTATGGACAATTTTGTGTGGCGTTTCCACCCTTCCATTCTCTGATATGTTTCCAATGTGGTAAGGAATGTGGTGATGTGTAATGTGGTAACAAACAACTTACAGACCCCAGCTTCTGGGCCCATGATACAGAGGGTGAGAAATTGGGAAGGGCCTTTTTCCATGACAACTCTATGTTTCCTGTAATATGTAGTTCAGTTTTATCCTTCTCTCTGCCAGAAATACCTCACAGATGGAGACCAAAGAAGGCCTTGGCATTTCTCCCAAGTTTAACATATTCTTCCTAATCTTACTTGAAACCTCCTACCATCTTTTGCATGTCTCAGAAGCTACCCCCTTTTGCTAGTACTTTCTCTTCTACCTTGTTTCCCTCCTACTTGCTCTGCCATAGCAGTGGCCAGAACGTGGGCAGCATGCACATGTTTCTGTGTGTGAGGTGGTAGCATTCCCAGCTGTGACTCAGTTTTACTGCAAAGGCACCATGATCTTACTTCACATGATGTGTGCAGGGAGCACGTGCCTGGTATTTAAGCCATATGGCTCTTCCAGAAGCCTCTGTAATTCTGGACTGACTGGATTCTACCACAGGCATTTGGAACCTATGAGGGTTCAGTGCATGGAGGGCACAGCAGAAACATATAGGCTGGTCACTATCCCTGGACACTGAGCCACATGCTGGTTGCACAGCCCTGCATGTGTAGTATCAACAACAACAACAGTTAAAAAGCACATAATTTATAATATCAAATTAGATAGATAGATAAAACTTTATTACGATCAAAGACCAGCTGCTAATATCAAATTATATGTAGTATCAGTGTGAAGGGGACCTCCATGAGGTCCCCTATATATTTATACAGAGCTCCCACTCCAAGGATAAGAATTCTTGTTAATCTGTGGCAAATCACTGCAATGTTGTGAGGGGCCTAGACTTCTGAGGAGACAAGATGCCCATCAGCTGAGGTAAATGAAAAACTGAAGAAGGTCACTGACAGTTCTTATCATATTTACATCCCATGAGTGATATAGCTTTTCTGAAGAAAATGAGATCAACTGAAGGTACCCTATTATATTATGTCCCTTTCTCTCGGCCATATGCTCCTCAAAAACAGCTCTTATTTTTTATTCAGGCATATAGCTTCAAAACAGGTGTTATTCTGTCAGTGGTGATTAGTGTGTAGGAGAAGCCTTCACGCCTAAGAATAACACTTCATAACTTATTCGACAGTCAAAAGCTAGAGCCAATTTTTCTCTAATTCTCTGTAATGCTTGTTCATACTCTGTTAAGTATTGAAAAATGGCTATATGTTTGATCATGTCAGAACAGTATTCACTCAGGTGAATACATTTCTTGAGATGAGGGGTGGGTCTTGCTTAAAGCAGTTTCAAAGAGAGCAGTGGAAGTTTTTCAAAAGACTCCTGAGCAGTTTCTCCTTGGAATCTATCTAAGTTGTAGTGCTGGGACACAAAGGGAATGAAGCAGGCTGTCCTAAGGCAAATAGGAGAAGATTTTTTCATCTCCCTGCCTTTATTTTAGTTTAGTTTGGCAGCTATTCTGAACCTCCTCCCCTCCAGCGTGAATGCACCAATCTCTTCTAAAGTAGCAGAAATGTTGTCCTCCCACATTGTCATCTGCTCTTCTTACGTGAGGATTAAGTTATTGCACCGTAAGTACTGTATCCAGTGTAGGGTTAATGGACTACAAAGAATAGAATATGGATGCTGTATCATCTGGAAAGGCCTCCTAGCAAGAAGAGGTTGTAAAATCTTTACATTGTCTTTTATACACATACACAAAACATCTAAAACGTTTTTAAAAATTAAAATTACTTCTATTTAGAGGTCTGGGCAAGCAATTGGCCACCATTCCCTTTTTTCATGTATTATTCAACCTGCTGTTTGTAAACATGATTCCTTATCATGATGAAGGACTGCAGCATTGTGGAGAAATGTGTAGAGGGTCTGTAAACCTTGGCCCACATCCTGTTGCTTCATTAGTCCTGCAGAAGGCAAAATGGCATAATTTCCAGTGACAACTTCATGGCAGTTCATGAATCCCTGCTTCAGTTTTTGGGCATATGCACATGTACTGGCTTGGCATATGCCAAAAACCCAGACAGAAGTTTTTAATTGCCAGCAAGAAGCCACTGGAAGTTACATTGTGTTCCTTTTGCAGGTGTATCTAAGCAATTGGATTTTGACCCTTCTGTGCATATTTAACAGATTGAAGCCAAAAAACAGAGTTTTCTGTAGAATACATTGTAGGTTTAATGAAGCTCACTCAAAGGGATATACTATTTTTACTGAGTGAGAGTGAAAGAGGATCTTCGTTTGCTGATCATTTCATTCCTACATATGAAGAAATCTATCAATACAATCCCTCGATACACTTATCTTAGCTCTCTAGTAAGTATCCCACTTTCTGTTACCAGTGGATGTAAGAACATCACTGGCATGCTCCAGTTTTGTTCTGATTCAGTCTCAAGGATGTAAGTTTCTTCATTTGTGACAAAAAAAAAGAGTTGTAACATGTCAAGAATAAAAACAAAAGCAAAGCAAAAACAAAAACATTGTAACATCTTTAAAACTAGCAAATTTGTAAACTTTCATGAGTTTAGTCCACTTATTCAGACACATAATTGTATCAATGAAAGCCCACACTGGCTGAAATCCTGTTGAATAGTGTAATAAGTTGCAACTAACATAAGCCCATTGAATCAGTGGAGATTTGGTGAGTCATTATTTTCATAAATGCCACTGATTCAATGGGCCTACTTAGGTTGCAAATTACTATACTAAGCAACAGGATTTCAGCCTTTGAAATACATTTGTTAGTCTTCTGACAGAATGACAGAATACTTCTGTTGATGCTGGAACAGACTGATGGACCCACCTCATTAACACACTGAGACCACCCCCATCCAAAAATAGGACACTACTATGGGCTGTTTTTCTCCTACATGAAAGCAAAAAGGCTAACACTTTCTTTTTGTCAGCAACAACATTCACATAAAACTATGATGTTTGTGCATAAAACTTATATCTTGCCCTGAAAACCCTATATTATGCCCCCAAAACAAGGATTTCTGCACGTGATGGTGTTTTATTGTGCAAAACCATTTCTGTGAATTTTTAGCAAAAATGCACAAGTAGAAATATGCACAACTTTTTAAATCTTGCCCATTGAGGAGAAAACATTTTCATTCATAATCCATGCAGATGAAATCAACAATGATTTCCCTCCCTGATCAATTTCTTGCATGCCCTATATTTCATAACACAAAGTGCAGTGATTTTGATCTCCTGTTAACATCAGTATATTTCTGTGACTTCATAATTGTGCTAGAGAGACTGTGGTGGAATTATTCTCCTCTGTTATGATAACGGAGGGTTGAAGCATTCCTAATATGTTTCAATTTTCAGTTTTGGTAAGTGTATGCTTTATATTACGTTCAGATAAATATCATGGTGATGCAGTTATGTTACTAGGATGAGTGAAGCCTTAAGATGGGTGTGACATAATTACTATGGGGCAGAAAAAGGTCTAATTATTTTTCATAGACAACTTACTTTGTGTTGCAGATTTTACCCTATTGATCATTATAATAAAATTCAGAGAGTTATTAAATTCATTTATGGGGAAGACTCACTGTAACACAATGAAGATTAATTATGTAGCCTAATGTTCTGTTAACTGAGTTTTTAAATAGTTTTTTGATTAACAGAGTTATTATCTTGCTCCTCTGGAAAGTGTTTTCATACGCTGGACAAACCCCAAAATGTTTCAGACCCCCTTCCCCACAATTTGTCTTCAGATAATCCTGCATGATGTCCCAAATAACATAATAAGGGGAAAGCCTCTTGCATAAAAAATGAACTGATAAAACAGAATTAATGGGAGTCAAGTGGAATCCCTTGAAAGCGGGTACTGGAGGGTGGGAATTAAGATGAATAAGATTGTCTTTAAAGGTTGGTGGACGCAATGACAAAGGGCTGATAGAATACCTGCCAAGAAAGGGAAAAGAAAACGTCATTATTCAAAATAAAAGCCACATGTTCCTGAGGCTCTCTGTTTCCCTAAAGGACTTCATGGCACAGGATAAATGGGACGACAAGGAAAATGATGAAGCCAATGGAAATATCCACCTGCCAGGCAAGCTGGCAATTGTGGAATTTAGCAGGCATTCACTGTCAATGATAAAATGTCAGGTTTTATTTCTTTCACTGGGAGGAGGCAGTGGAAACTGGCTTTTGAGTAAATTACAGCCGTGATTGGGCTCCTTTCTGGGTCGTACTTTGTCACCTTGTGCACTCGCAATGTAATCTGTCGCAATCAAACTGCTGCTAAAGCAGTTAGCTCTCGTGTAACTCTAAATTGCTTTATGGGATATTGCACATGCTAGTTTTCTTGTCTAAGCTGTTCCCTTATCCTGGCCCAAAGTAAAATTAATTTAGCCTGACATATGCAATGTTCAGGTTGTTCAGTTTTAGGAACCAGATTACAATAGGCAGTCTTTTGAGGACACATGTGGAGTCTAGCCTTGAGCCATATTGTTTCAAAATGTGGTTGAAATACTCGGACTCAATTCTGCCTTGAGGAAGAAACAGGTGGAGTAGCTGCACCAGCCTAGAAGGCTTTCTAGCATCAGTGTGAATTTATATTTCAGATTACTTGCCACACCTTGAAGGGGAGCACTTTAGCTCCATCTTACTCTCTCTGGTTTCACCACCTGAATACGTAGAGAGTGGCAAGCCTGAAGATGAGAGTCTTGCTAGACACAGGAGCTGAAATTCATGAAAAGTCTGGAAAATCAGTTTGCATCCAAGAGGAGAATCCCCATGGATAGCAGAAACTCTCCTATTCAGACTCATTCAGCTTCATATATTCAGGGTATTCAAAATGAAAGTGGAAACAGGCAGATCTAGAGTCTTTGCTCTCAATGTCTTTTGAGTATTCCCTGGCATTAAAGTCCGAGTAGAACTTAATCTAAAATCAGAAACCAATTTGGGTCTTACACATGAATTTCTGTTCTTGAGAGAAGTACCTCTAGCTCTGGCAAAACCACTCCTCTAGGCTTGGTAATGAAGACTTGGAATTACATAGCTTGAGAAGTTGTGGAGGGCTTCTCCCCTTGGCCCTCAGATGTAGTGTCTGGTGTCAAAGGTATTCAACACAAAAGATGAAACAGAAGTAAAACAGAACATCTAGTGTGGCTGGCTGCTCCTTGAATATTTGCTGATAACTTTCTGAGAATGCCAGAGGAATAGTAGCAGACTCTAATTATAGATTAACACGATGTGGACTTCAGTGAACAGAAATCCACAGGCAAGAGCAGATTTTCCATTTCTTCATTAAAGTGACGGTCAACGGGGATATACATCTCTGAGTAGGGATCTAAAATAATGGCCTGGCAGGGTAATGATGAAGCACTAAACAAAACTGCTTTTGTTTCTTGTGGATGCTAAGGTAAAACTCAGGTGAGCATAGTCCAGTTGAGGGATACCTCTCTGATTTCCTGTATTTGTATTTATGCTGAGAAGTAGGACTTCTCTCCTTTTAGTTTGCTTGTTTTATTTATTTGGGATTGGGCTCCTCGAAAGACCAATAGAGGCAAGAAGGGTATCAAATTCGGACGCTGTCTTTTGGGCCTCAAAGGAGGTGCCCTTGTCCCTCTTTCCTTGAGGGGAGAAATTTCATGATGATATTCTTTGATTCACAAAAGGATTTAAATCAAGTTTGTTCATTGAGTCTTTACAAAAATCTCAGCTGCAGGACAACTACCGTAGGTTTGAGGATCTAGACTTTTAGGCAGATGTTGGGATAGAAATCTTTGCAATGTTATTTTTCCATTTATTCCTCTGGTAATCTTGTATAAGTTAGTAATGGTAAGCCACAGTTTTCTATCTGTAAAATGATAATCATAGAAAAGTTAAGTTGGAAGGGGCCTACAAGGCCATCAAATCCAACCCCCTGCTCAGTGCCAGGAATACAATAAAAGCATATCTGCCAGGTGATTATCTAAGGTTTTTTGACTGCCTCCAGTGTTGGAGCACTCACCAGCTCCTGAGGTAACTGGTTCCACTGTCGTAGTGCTCTAACAGGATGTTTTTCCTGATATTCAGGTGAAATCTGTCTTCCTTTAACTTGAGTCCATTGTTGTGTGTCCTGCACTCTGGGATGATCAAGAACAGATCTTGCTCCTCCTCTGTATGACAACCTTTCAGATATTTGAAAAGTGCTATCATGTCACTCCTCATTCTTCTTTTCTCAAGGCTAAACATGGCCAGTTTTTTGAGCCATTCCTCATAAGGCTTGGTTTCCAGCCCCCTGATCATCCTTGTTCCCCTCCTCTGAACTTGTTCCAATTTGTCATCATCCTTCTTTCTTGAAGTGTGGTGTCCAGAACTGGACACAGTACTCAAGGAGAACTTTAACCAGTGCTGAATAGAGGGGGACTGGCACCTTGTGGGATTTGGGAACTATACATCTATTAATGCAGCCTAAAATAGCCTTTGCCTTTTTTGTAGCCATATCACACTGCTGGCTCCTATTTAGCTTGTGACCTATGACAATTGCAAGATCCTTCTTGCTCGTAGTTTTGCTGAGGTATCCCCCATAACAATGATAAAGTGATACAGTAGCAACAAGACTTGCAAAAATAATGAGCTGTTTACATAAAAAAATAACAGTAAGCCTTATGTCATATCAAGTTTATATTTATTCAATTGCATTTAATCCATTTTGCAGAATTTTGCATTCAGACATCTTTCTTCCCTTTCAGATAAAACTGTGAAACTATGGAAGGTCAGTGAACGAGACAAAAGACCAGAGGGTTACAATCTCAAAGACGAAGATGGAAGGATCCGAGACCCTTCTACAATTACCACACTACGGGTAGGGCAAATGTGGCTTCTTTAGTTTTCTACTTCTCTTTACTCTTACTTCTAGTTGCATGTTTTCTACTAGCAATTGCACTCAGCCCAAAGTGGGGGAAAAAGCTCTCTTATCTGAAATATTCTGCTTCTTTACATGTAAATAGCATGAGCCAAAGTATTATTGCCCAAGTTAAAGTCATAAAATAGGGTTTGACGACACTGTAGTGAGCTTTGTGAGAGGTTGAGAAAGTCCTTCAGAAATACATACAACCTTTCTGGATTGTGGTAGAGTAATAATCACAATGATGTGCATAGCAACAAAATGTGACTTACTTTACTGTAGATTATCAGCTAACTTTACTTTCATGACTTAGTTGTCACACCTTATATCTGTTCAAACTTAGTGCTCAACTGCTCACCAGTTTGGATAGACTTAGAAGACAGATGGTTTGAGACACAAGTGTTTCCTTACATGAGGATTACCTACATGCAGTAGCTTCCTACTAGAGGTACTGATAAGTTGGAAAACAATTCCACTGAAGTTCACACACTCATATTTGCAGTTGGGTTTTTTAAATAAAGTGGAAGGTTTTCCACATCTCTGAGGAGTATGAAATAGCCTAATCCTCCATCAACAAGGTACAGAAATCTTTCATTTCAGATGGCTTTACTAATATTAGCATTTGATAGAAAGATCAGTTCGGCCTTTGAATGAAAATCTTAGTGGGTCAAGAGTTCTACTTAGATCTTGTGCTAATGACTTAAGAGAAGTGTCAGTCATAGCTCCAATCTGTACCACCACTCATCTGTGGCTAGAGGAAGAAATAGGTAGCGTAACTACACCATCCTAGAAAGCTTCCTTGCATCAGTATGAAGCTTTATCCAGGTGATAATATTTGAGATTACTCACCATATATTGAGGGGAGAACTCTTGCTCCATCTAACTCTCTCTCTCTGGTTTTACCACATGAAAACATAGAGAGTGACATGCCTGAAGAAAAGAGTTTCTGCTATTTACATGAACTGGTATTCATGTACTGGAAAATCAAAAGAGTCGTGTCCATATTTTCCAACACAGTGTCTGGAGAAAATTATGGAAACAAATAACATTCAGATACTGGATTAAATCCAGTATAAGTCGCAACTCAAAATAGATTCATTGAATTAGTGAGGATTTGGTGAGTCAACTCTTTTGTGAGTTTTCTTGATTTGATTGACCTACTCTAGTTGTGACTTACTATTGGATTTCAGCCACTGTTTCCTAGCTGTGAGAGTAAAAATCCTTGTTTGTGCTTAGGAGAGGAAAGATTCTGCATGTTCAGTCATACGTCCTGGCTCAGAAGAATACAGTTGCATCAGAATTAATGGGATGGATCATCTGGTTACTAATATCTCCCCCCAAAAGTTGGATTTCCTGTTTGGACTGCTGACCAGGAAATTGAATGAGAAGTCCTAATTAAGCCCTAAATAAACCTGTTGTAGTGACATTTATAGTACATAATTATTCCTTTAATTTTTTTTTAAATTAAATAAACATGCAAATTCATCCTTTTTGCTCTGCCCTTGAAGCCCTCAGGCTGCTGGCAAATCTGAAAAATGGCCCTAAACTTCCCTAAAATCACTCACCCCTGATTTAGATCCTGATGTGGTAGCATAGTAGATGAGAGTCCCTTCAGGCTGCTTCAGCTGCAATTGATACTTTTCTTAGAGCTGCTCTTGCTTCGTTGAGAGTGCATTTGACTTCAGTAAGCAACACTGTTGTGTATCTGATGCCTTTCACTATCACTCAGCACACCTATTGCTTTCTTGAAGTAGCACTCTGGTTAAAGAGTGGCACTGCTTGTGGAGAATAGGTGATTGCTTGAATGGGATGGGACCATTAACCAGTAGCTATGTTAAGTCTCAGTTTTCACAAAGTACTTGTCCTACACAAGAAAACCTTTGTGCTTCCTCTACCACTAAATGATGATGTTTTGGAGTGGAGAGTGTATTGTAGCTTCTGCTACATTCTCCAGACTATTGTGAGATATGTTTCTAATTTCTGTTGCCTCCTATTGTACAAAACGGGAGGCAGTATCAATTATTAGTCATAACATATATTACTATGTTTGCACAATATTAATGTTCATCATTTTTATACATGGTGCTATGCTTATTCTGGCTCATCTTTATAGCTCTTTCTTTCATTGCCATGAAGCTGGCAAGGGCATTAATAACTCCAGACAGCTAATTAATTCTCACTAAGAAATAAATGGTTTCCATATTGCGTTGTCCTGTCTTGCTGGTAGGCACATTGTTCAAGACTGAGAATATGTTCTGTGTTATTACCTGATTGCTGTCATTCTGAATATGGCATTTGGAAGTCTGCATTTTTTCATTATCATTCCATAAGTATATAAAATATTTTCTCAAATATTGTTTATGGCTAAACTTATATGTTAGTATTTACATAGGCAAGCATGGGGCAGATACTGCTATTATTTCACTGTCAGAAGCACATTAATGAGTGATTGCCATCCTCTGTGTAGCATGTAAAAGGCAAGATCATGTGTGACTCCTGCACACTCCCTGCAGTATGGGAATCCATCCTCTGTGTAGCATGTAAAAGGCAAGGTCGTGTGTGAGTTCCTTCCCTGGCATTAGATTCCATCTTTGACACACTGGGTACAAGTTAACAAACAAAGTTTATTAAACTCAGGGACATAGCAACATAGGAACTGGGGTAAAAACACATGAACCGCTTCTCCAGTACGTATTTGGCACTGAGGCAATGTTCTTGGTAATAGTTCTTGAAGTCCCAGCTGCTGAGGACTCGATGATACTTCTCACCCAATCCTTTTTACTCTCCTTTTACAAAGCCCTCCCTCATTCAAGGTCTCTTGTCTACACTGCATGTCTTGCAGGGAGGGCCTGTATGCCTGCAGTGGGGACACGCCAAGACACAGGCTCGATGGCAGGGACTCCCTTGAGCCCTTGCTTCATCCCAGCAATATCTCCCAGCTTCATCTCCTCTGGCAGGTTTTTCTTCTTGTGCTAGCCTCTCCCCCCCCCCCATCTGGATCTGCTAGGAGGGCCTTCCTTGCTTCCCTCCTCTCATGCTCTCCCCAGTAGGATGGTTTGTGTGGGACCTTAGAGTTCTCCCACTTCTCTCCTTCGTCTTTGGGAAAGCTAAGTTCCACCAGAACCTCACTCCATGGATCCTTTTCAGAAGTATAATTCCACTTTTGAGAGTGTTTTGGATCTTCAGGAAAACTGGTCCTAGCTCACTACTCTCTAGCATTGCCCCACTCTTCCACATCTTCCCCTTTTTCTCCTCTTATAATTTTTCTCACCTTGTTCATCTGCTCTTTTTCTTCCTTCTCCCTCTTTCCTTTCTAGTCCTCCTGACTCTCAGATCTTTCTGCTTTCTCCCTCTCCAGTTCTTTCCCCCCTTGTTCCCCTTCTCTTCTCCTTTTCTACTGCCCACCAAATGTATACAAGCTCTTGCCTATTCTGCCTGTTGGCTAACTCCATCTTTGTAGCCAAACATATTAAATCGTGTCAGGTCTATTTGGGTCTCGGGTCTTTTGCCCATCTTCCACATTCTATTTGGGATAGAGTTCCTGGGTTGGAGCTCAAAGGACTGCCGACAGGGGTGATATTGTCCCTGTCCTCCTCACATCATGGTTAAGGATGGGACTTTCGGAATTAAAAGACTTCCTCTCCTATAATTTTACGAGAACCCCTGAATTATGTGAATGAATGTTCCCAAACCAAAGAACAGTAGAGCAAACTGTGCCTTCTTCATGCCATTCCTGTGGTACTTGCCCTTTGAGCAGTAAGAAAAGGACCCCATTGCACTGTGGGAGTTGTGAAATAGGATTAGGACTTTAGAGACCTGGGTTTTAATACAGCAATGGAAACTCACTTGCAGGGAGAAGGTTGGTAGCACTAAGAATGCCACTCCTTAAGCATCTCGCCTCAAAAACCCTGTTAGGATTGTTGCAAGTTGGTTGTGCTATTAGGGCACATAACAAGAGACAACTGCCTCTGTCTATACTTTTAGAACAGAGACTTGCAGCTTAATGATTTATGTTGAGTAATTCTCAAACCCCCATCAAGCAATGGGAGGAAAGGTGCAACTAGGAACAGATTGATATCTAGGAGTGACTTAAGTGGAAGAGAAAAATGACAGAACACCATTTGTTTTCATGTGCAGGTTGTAACTGAAACCATTCACACATTCTATGAAATAGTTACAGGCTTTATTGTGTGTTGACACTTGATTCTCACCAGTAGGATACTTCTCCTTGCTTACAGCCAACCCCTCCCTCATCCTAAACCCAGATACAGGAGGTAAAACAGAGGCACTAACACAAGCAATCAGATTCTACAACAAACCTAGCTGCCAACATTGTCTCCATAGCTACTCTGGCAGTTCTATTGTTATAGGACTACCTAGGTTTCCTAAACATCAGGGGTCCATACACTGTGGTATATGCAATACGATGTGTCCCATAATTAACTGCTGCATTGTACTTAGAACAAGCAGTCCAGTCACTAAGCAGAAGAATAAGCAGGCACAAATAAATGTTTCTGACAACATCAGGGGTCCATAGACTGTGAAATATGAATAATGTGATGTGCCCCATAATTAACTAGTAGTGTCCTGCTGCATTTTACTTAGGATAAGCAGTCCAGTCACTCAACAAAAATATTAAATAGTACAATTCTGGCATCCGACATGACAGTATTTAGAAACCAGCGGGGGAGTGTTCCAGCCTCTCAAGACACGCTGTTCGTGACCTTAAATTGCCATTCTTGAGCAAAGAAATTCTCTTCAGTGGGAGGCTAAAATGAAAAATGGGTGAGTTATAATTCATCAGGAGGTTCAATTTTTTTAACCCTGGTGGCCTGAGGGTGAAGGTTAAAAAAAGCCCACCAAACAAACCAAGTTGATTAGCTTACAAATACCAGGATGCTTGTATTTATCAGCAACAACTGTTTGATCAATGGTACTGTTAATAATATGATTGCCAT